TCATGTTCAACCCTCTGGACTCTGAGCAGGTTCTGGATGTTTCTGTCTCACGTTCCTTCACTGAGGTTCATGGTCCAACATAAAGTCCTGCAGCTCTGTGGAACCAGAACCACAGAACCACAGAACCACCAGAACCACATGAAGGAGGAGAGAGAAGTCAGAGACTTCTTCTGGCAGCAGGACTCAGTCAGAACCATGAGACCAGAGAGGAGGAACGAGTAGGAACTAATAACTAATGACGAATGATTAATAACTAATAACTAATAACTGATAACTAATGACTGATAACTAAAAACTAATAACTAATAACTAGTAACTAATGATTAATAACTAATGACGAATGATTAATAACTAAAAACTAATAACTAATCACTAATAACTAATAACTAATAACTAATGATTAATAACTAATAACCAATAACTAATAACTAATAAAAAATAACTAATAACTAATAACTAATGACTAATAACCAATAACTAATAACTAATAACTGATAACTAATGACTAATAACTAATAACTAATAACCAATAACTGATAACTAATAACTAATAACTAATGACTAATAACTAATGATTAATAACTAATAACTAAAAACTAATAACTAATAACTAGTAACTAATGATTAATAACTGATAACTAATAACTAATAACTAGTAACTAGTGACTGATAATGTGAGCGTCCATGTCTTTGACTGGTCCCTGTACAACCAGAACCAGTAATCAGGAGCCGTGGTGTTGGACCAGATGGAGGCTCGTCATGCTGCAGACATTTAACGATTCACTGTTTTAGTTTCTGTCTTGACTTTTCGGCCTCGTTGATCCAAACAGTTGGTTCTGGCTGCAGCTGAGTCCTGGACTTCACCAGGGTTTCGTTTTTTACAGAATTTAATTTCTGCAAATGTTCGTGTTTTGTTTTTGAATGAAACTTAGATTTGGTCACTTTTCCTGATGGACACCATCAGAACACTTCTGTGGGTTCTTACAGATTCTGGATGATAAATGACGTAACTTTGGCAATTTTCTAAAGACAGAACATCTTTAGAACCTGTCAGGGAGGTGATGACCACATGAAGCTGGAATAAAGTAGAAAGCATCCAGTACTCTTTGTTGGAGGGACCATTAAAGCCTGATTCTGGTCTCTCTGCAGGACTAGTTGTCAATAATAAAAACTGGGAGGTCCATACTGAGTGGGACTGAACCAAATTGGTCCAGTTCTTCTCCAGAGAGGTTCCCCGGGACTCCTCCTTCCACGTCCACCTCAGGCTGACGGGGACAGCGAAGGCCTCCAGCTCCTGCTTCAGCACATCCAGCTGACCTCGGTCCTGAGCAGCAGCACACAGACAGAGTGAAGCCGTGAACCAGGCGCTGCATGTGGTCACATGTCGGCCTCAGCGCTGCCTGGCAGGCGTCTGAGTGGGCGGCTGCATCACAACAAGTCTGAATGTGTCGTGAAGAACGCCGGCGGCGGCGGCAGCAGGTTTCATACCTCAGACGTCTTGTCCGACGCTCCCTGGCTGAACAGGACCTGCCTCAGAGCCGCTCTGGGTTTGGTTCCTGCTGACGAGCCTTTGCTCACGGTGGCAAAGTCCGTCACCACCTTCTGCTTGGTCCTCCGCTGCAAACCCAGAAACAGGCAGACGTCAGAGCGGCTCAGAGACACGAGCCGGGACTCATGAGCTGCAGGAGGTTTAACACTGAAAACATTCAGTCAACAGAACTAAAACAGAACCGAACTAAAACAGAACCGCCCTGTGCTCAGCAGAAGTTCAGAACAGTTACACCTACTGCTGATAGTGATCCTGCTCCTTTATTGTTGTTTTATTTAATAAACTTAATGTTCAAAATGTCCTAAAACTTTGTCAGACGCTGGACTTAAGACGGACAGCACTGGACCAACACCAGCAAGCTGCAGAACCAAACAGCAGCAGCCTCAGCAGGACTCAGCAGGACTCAGCAGGACTCAGCAGGACTCAGCAGGACTCAGCAGGACTCAGCAGGACTCAGCAGGACTCAGCGCTGCTGCAGGAGCAGGACGTTTGTTTAACTTGAATCTGAAGCTGCTCAGAAATGCTCCAAAAAGTCACATGCAAGAAGAAACAGGTTCCGCTTTATGAAAACATCCCCTCATGAAGCATCCTGTGGGGCAGTTGTTGTAAACGGCTGTGAATCATTCATCAGGGTTCAGACCCTCCTCACATGTTCCTCATGTTTCAACAGAACAACTCAAATACAAACCAGCTTCAGCAGAACCTGAACCAGGAGCTCAGGAGAGGATTCAACCAAATGGACTTCAATAACCAAAGCAGAAGTGTGTCACGTGAAGGTGTCATTTAACTAATGACTAGTAACTAGTAACTAATAACTAGTANGACTCGACATGACTCGACATGACTCGACATGACAGGTAGCATCAGCTCAGCAGGTAGGAGGTTCCACAGCAGGCAGCATCCTGGAGCTCTGACATCTGGCATCTATTAAACCGCCCAACATAACACAAGTCAACATGACACGACTCGACAGGACACAGCAGGACACGACATGACTCGACACAACACGACACAACATGACAGGACACAGCAGGACACGACATGACTCGACAACACAAGACAACACAAAAACACTGACTCTGTTGTGGGTGTAATGTGTGTTTCGTTGTGTACTTTTATGGATTGACTTCCTTCTGTTGGATTCATGCTCAGTGAGGCGCCAACATGACTGAAGCGTTTCTGTTGGAAAGTCAAATGGACACAAACACACACAAAACCACCACAAAGCCAAGCAGGAAGACACACAAGGAGCTGCACACACAGAGCTGCGCTACCTTGTCGATCTCCTCGCTGATCCCGTCCACCTCGTAGCCTTCCACCCTCTGAGCGGAGATGGACAGAGCCAGCTCCTCGTCCTTCAGGCGCAGGTAGTCGTTGATGCTCTCCAGGAAGCTGTTCACGCTGGTCAGCTGCAGGAGACAACGAACCGGACACTGTGAAACTGTACCGCCGTCTAGCCGCAGGAGACCCAGAGTCAGAGCCCGTGGAGCTGGAGGTGATGATGCCCTCACCATGCCTCGGAGCCGGAGCTGGATGTGGGGGTCCTGGGTGTTTTTGAGCACAGCTTTGAGCAGCAGCGGATACTTGGTGATCCTCTGGTGGGGTTTAGCCTGCATGTCCCCGAGTCGCATCCGCTCACACTGGGGGTGAGTCTCCACCCACTGCACACACACACACACACACACACACACTCTGTTTGAGCTCCAGAACTCTTTCTTTACAGAAACATGACTGTTGTGTTTACAGCTGATTTGAAGCCTCCAGGGTCCTGGACTAGAAGCCAGACCAACATACCAGGATATGTGTCAGNGATAACAAACAGACACACAGCCGATGGTGGTGTCTCTCCAGCTCCCGTCTAAAGAACCAGTCTCTGGTCCGTCTCTGTCTTGTTGCGGCTCAGAACAGAACCCTGACTTTGGGTTTGACGGATCGAAGCAGCTCCAGTGAAACGATGAGCCTCCGTCCTGCCGACTGACCAAATACTTCTTCAACACAAAACCTCGAAGCGCTGCAACGATGCAGTGACTTCAAGTTTCATGAAAGGTTCTGTTTGCTGCGACCCGAAGCTGTGACCATCGGTTCTATTGCTCTGAGACAGGAAACCAGCCGACAGGCTTCAACAGCAGCTTTTCTTCTCTGACCTCGTTCACCAGCCAGGAAACGTAAAAACACAAAGAACCGTCTGGTCTCCATCTCTCTGAGGTTCTGTAAGCGACTCGTCTGGTTCCTTCAGCAAAAGGAACCAAATCGGAGGTGAACTTTTATGAAAATTACTGAATTCCGTTTGGGTTAAAATCGCCAAAAATCAAATGTTTGCTTTAACTAGATTCTATAAAAAAAGCTCCTCTGGGCAACCAGGAAGTCACGACTGACTCAGCTGTGACCAACAGGCACACCACAAAAATTCATTAAGTCTGTTTCCTCAGAGAGCCTGAGAGGAACATCCAAGCTCCTGGATCAATGAATACATGCAGCACGGATCAGAACCAGAGACCAGAGGAGCCAGCTGGTGGAGATACATTCATCTGATGGTGGAACATCTTTCTACTGATGGTGGAACATCTTTCTACTGATGGTGGAACATCTTTCTACAGCTGATGAGCAGAGAGGAAACGTCTGGAACAAGGAGATCGTTCAACATCTGCAGGACGAGGAGGCGACATGAGCTCAAGGAGACAGAAAACAACACAACAAAAAGAAAAACGAAACAGAAGAAGAGACACAACAGGAAGGAGATTAAACTGTGAACATGTAAATGATCAAACATCTCCAGCGTGTGGAGGCACCACCGTCCCAGCTGAAGCTCAGGTTTGGTTCAGACAAAACCATGTGACAGCAGAGACACTCCAGGTTCAGTTGAAAGATGAAAACCTGATGATTTCTTTGTGTTTTCACAGTTTCTGGCTGAATATTTGTGTTGTTTTGATGTTTTCTCCTGCAAACAGTCACAGAGTGGAAACGTGAGCTCTATTGGACCCACAGGCGGCGGCGACACGAGACTACAACGAGACACGTAATGAAATATACGAGACAGTAAAAGGACTAAAACGTCTCGACAATTTATGGAAGCTGTAAACATGTCAGCAGGTGAACATCTCCAGTCTGAGGAGCCTCCGTGTTTCCAGATGATGGTTCCAGCTTCATCATCCATCCACACACCGATCCTCCTCACTGGGGGGCTGGAGTCAGGCTGAGGGCGTATATGCTTCCATCCAGATCAGACGATTAAATAAAGTGATTTTTAAAGACCTTCAGTTTGACTGGAGGCTACAACAGAGAGGGATCAACGAATGAATGAACAGACGATGAGGCCGAGGCTCTGCATGACTCCGTCTCTTCATCGTACCGACAGTAAATCAGCAGCAGCCTGACAGCTGCAGCTGCTCTGACTCACCTGTGCAGGTAGAGTCACTCCAGGACTCACCTGACAGTCTGACCTGCTGCAGCTTTAAGTTTCAGCCAAGAATTTATCTCAGGAAGCTCCAGTATCACATCTGACTGGTTCATGCAGAGCAGAAATCCTGAGCTGTTGCTGCACAAAGTCACATTTCCAGAGTTTGAGCGTGAGACGGGCCGAGACGGGCCGAGCGCTGATCCGTCAGATCAGACCGACGACAGAAACTCTCGTCTCCGAGTCTCAACAGTTTACAACCAGTCTGCTCGTCTGTCACTCAGAGACTCCACACACACACACACACACACACACACACACACACCTGAAATACCATCAGAGCCCTCGACGCCGACAGACTGGATCAGCAGAACAAACAGAACCAGAACCAGAGCGACAGGTCGACTGAGGAGAGCCTGAAGTTCTGCTGTTCTCCTCCAGCTTTAGTGATAAATGCAGCTCTTACCTGGGCTTGGCTGGATCCATGTTGTTTCACGCAGTCATCTTTGGTTTCTGTTAGCTTCCTCCTCCTCTTTCAGCAGCCGCTCACCGTCCCTCCCTCTGCTTTCACCGCTGCAACCTGCCCGACTCGAACAACTGGATTCTGCAGCCAACAAATCTGAGCACGGCGCTGGTTAATGAGTGCAGAGGAAAGTGTTTATCAGAGGAGGTGTGGAGGCCTGCTATTGTTTCCTGTCAATCAGGGTCATTGATCAGCAAACAGCAGCTAATCATTCAGAGGAGGTCAAAAGCAACACAGAGTGAGCTGTGGAGGTTCAGCAGGCAGCGATCTGGGGAAGAGAAAAGAAGGACAGAGCTGCAGGAAGGAGGTCAGCTTCCAGTGGAATCGATAAGAGGAAAGACTGTGAGGCTGGAATGTCGGCATTAAACACTGATTTAATCCACAACACAACGTGCACACACCGATACAGGAGACTTTATTTAAAGTTCAGGAGCTCTACATATGTGAACGTGACAGTAAAACAGTTTGCTGCTGCTTCAGTCGGAGTGTTTGTGCTTCAAATCAGTGATCTGCAGCCAGACGAGGTGTGTCCCGCTGTCATGAATAATGCTGCTATGATGGGGCACGAAGGAATGCTAATGGAGCCGAGAGCAGCTGCCAACGCAGGCAGGAACAACAAAGTTCCTCGCTTTGTTCTGATGGAGCCGCAGAACTGGGAACCGCCATTAAAACATCACCAGTTAACTTTATGGTCTGGTTAAACAGTGTTAGCGTTTCCCTGCACAAAGAGGAACTAATAGCCACATAAACAGGAGGTGTGATATATAAAACTCTGCTTAAAGGAGATATAATACAACATGAAGACAGTCAGAAACATCTCAGCCATCAGCTGATCAGAAGTTCAGAATGACTCCATAAATCCACACATTTCAAAACACAGCATCGGCCTGAAAGAATCAGACTTTTAGAAAGATGCAGAATTTCTCTCACCGACAGAAATACAGAAAATATGAAGCTGCAGTCTGCAGCCAGTTAGCTTAGCTTAGCTTAAAAACATGGAGCGGCTCTGCAACAGAACCGTCCCACATCTGAACCTCACTGCCTGTCTGCAGCGCCGTCATCGTCTGGAGCTCATAGCGTCACAATTCAACTGAACGTGAACTAAAACTCTGACATTTGGGGTCATTTTTGTTGTTTTGCACCTTTCTGCGTTAGTGAAAACCAACACAAACGTTTGCAGCGTTTGGGAGGTGAGACGTCATGTTGCTGCCCAGCATGAGGACACGTCCCCTGAAAGAGGAATCCATGAGATGTTCAGATAGGCGCCACACTGCTGCTGAAGAAAGAACATTTAGCGTCTTTCAACAGGCTCAACACTTATTATGTAGAATTTCACCGTCAAATAATCAACTGTTTGCTCTATAAACTGTCAAAGTGTGACTTAATGTTCTTTTGTACGTTTACTTTAATTTTATTTTAGTAAAATTAAATTATAAAAAATACCAAGATGTCTACAAAAAATCTAAAAAAAAAATAAAAAAAATAAAAAAAACATGAAAACCTGGCAGCAGCGTGAATCACTATATTAAAAAACAACCATATCAACAGCAAATACCTGTAAATAGAAAGTGTTTTATCTGATTTAAATACAGCCTTCCTGTACGTTTACAGTCAAACATATAAGAGAAGAAATGCTTATTTGTATTTTAAGTAATAATTTGATGCTGACATCAGAGAAATCTGTAAAATAACAGCTTAGAAATGTTGTTTTCAGTTCCTCATATACAGACTTTTTCTGTCAGTAAACATGAAGAACACTGATGTCTTTGTGGGATGAACACAGTCGCAGCTGAACGCTGCTGTCAGGACTTTGGGCAGCTGCTCAGTGGACTGACAGGAAAAAGAACAAATATATGATTTGGCAGCTTCAGTTTGAGAGGAATCAGAAAACATTCAGAACTGATCCTGTTCTGACTAAACGGTGTCCTGAGCTGAGCTCATGGATGATGGACGGCTGATCTGCAGCTTCAGCATCGTGTCTCTGTTCAGCTGTTCTGTGTAGATGTTCAGTGAGCTTCAGGCTGCAGGAGGATCTGCACACGGAACCGGCTCCTGACTCAGTGCACCAGCTGCTGCTTCATATTGACTGTCTGCAGGAGGAGCAGAGTTCTGGTCACCAGATCTCCAGCATGGAAATGGTTCTGAGCAGAAGCTCTGAGCCGTTTGGCGTCCTGTGATCCAACTGCTGCTTTGGTTTAGTTTTAGCACCGAGTCCGTTCGAGGCGTCTCTTTAGAACAATACTTGGTTCCGTGTTCCCACCGAGTCACTGGCTGCAGTACTTTGCCTCCAGCTCCTCGGCGGCCCGGCCCAGATGCATCAGCCTCAGGTTGTCCAGCAGCTCCTGCAGCCGCGGCAGCGGCAGCAGCAGCGTTCCTCCTCCGCCGCCTGCACGGGAGCCTCGCTCGGCCCAAACCCGCAGCATCTGGTAGTGGGCCTCCCTGCAGGACCGGTGGTCCAGCTCGACCTGCTCGATCTCCATGTCCTTCACGCCGAGGCATCGGACCAGCTGCTTCACCTGCAGCACCGGAACCAGATCCAGCACCATGTAGATGAGCTCTGGTACTGCAAAGGAAGCAGAGACAAGAGTCAGAACAACAGACCCAGTGTGTTACTGGAGCTCCGGACCAGCCCGGTCTCACAGAACCTTTGGTCCAGTACGACTGAGCTGCTTTCAGTCAGACTACGTCGTGCTCGTCGTCACGTATCAGTTTTATCATTAATCAAATCTTTCGCTGTCGCTGCTGATTAGAGACAGAACCAACAGACCTGCTGGAGGGTTCTGCTGCTGCTCTTCTCATCGACGCTGTCATTAAGGTGGTTCTGCTGTTTACTACTGAGCTCACGGTGCTGCAGGTTTACTGGACCATTTAAAGCTGGTCCTCACATACTGTCCAGTTCATTCATGTCAGTGTTTGAAACAGTTGAAACAGAACCGACCAGCTGTGTGCTCTGGACCAGCACCACTCAGCAAAATGTAGAAGCTCCATCAGCACAACATGAAGCAGAGCGGCTGTATCTGGTGTCCCTAATAAAGTGGCCCGTGTGTCTATTAGATGGCAAGAGAAGCTCCAAACATGCTGTATGTGAACCTTTGTAACCTTGACGCTAAACGGAACATCTGCACCATGCAGCTGGACACCATGAAGTCCTGATACCTTCTAAACGGGTTTTGTTCTACTCGTCTCTTTTATGAAGTCCCCTAAACTACACATAGTGCAGCAGCAGAGGACATGTGGAGAGCTCAACATCTGCAGGAGACGAAAGGACCAGAGACATAAACGGAGATGAACGAGACACCAAGAATCAAGAGAAACTGTCTCGACAGGTTTACAGAGACAGTAGAATGTGAATAAATAGTTTGTGGAGCCTCCATGTCGTGTAGACACATTTCTGTAAACTACGTCTGGAGACGTCTCTCTGGTCTCATGGTTCTGACTGAGTCCTGCTGACAGCAGACGTCTCTGAGTTCTCTCTCCTCCTTCATGTTCTGGTTCCTCAGAGCTGCAGGACTTTATGTTGCAGAGGAACATGAACCTCAGTGAAGGAACATGAGAAGTAAGAACCACCTGAAAGCTGCTGGAGTTCAGGTTTTACCAGCAGGGCTCCAGACTGTGAACTGGTTCCCAGTCTGGGCCAGTGTAGATGTCAAGACCACAGCTCCTGTGCTGACCTCAGTGGTGGAAGCACTACTTTAATACCTTCGGTGTTCTATTTATGCTCAGACATGTCGGGCGGCCCGGTAGCTCGACCGGCTGAGGGGCGACCCATGAACAGACAATCTGGGGCGAGAGGCCGTGGGTTTGAATCCGGCCCACGGACATTATCTGCAGGTCCTTCCCGTCTCTTCTCTCCACTGTCCTCTGTAACAAAAGGCTAAAAAAGACCAAAGTATAACCTTAAAACAAAAGCGATCTTCTGCTGACGAGCGCTCCTCAGTGTGCCACATGTAGAGAAACTCACCGGCTTCATCTGGGACGATCTGACATTAGAACCTAGTTTATCTTTTTGAGGTCACCTTTGGTCACACACCTGTCTGAGTACCGTGGCCACCAATCAGCTTCTACCACAGCCGGCACTGTGGGGCGTTCAGGGACCGTCGGTAAATCATAGAGTCTATTGATAAGAAAACGTTTGTCCAGTCACGTGTTCTGCCCGTGACCAGGTGGAGGTGAGACTACATGAGGAAGTTGGTGCCACCGGTCCTCCCAACTTACCCAACAGCAAATAAAATCATAAACAGTGAGTGAAAATGAAACTACAGTCTAAGAACAACGACCCCTGAAGTCCAGCAGCCAGTTTTCTAACATTCCAGTGAAACGTGTTTCCTGTAACGTGTCTCTAAAGTGTGATGCTGCTGTTGCTGCTGTGGACTCACTCCTGATCTCCAGAGGAACACAGTCGGGCAGGTTGGACACCTCCGGCTCCATCTCACAGATCAGAGCGACGGCCTTCAGGCTCTCCGGAGGTTCCTCGCTGTAGATCAGAGACTTCTGCAGACACAGAACCACCAGTTTACCGACTACCACACAGACGCCTTCACAGGCTTCAGCTGTGAAGGAAATTCACCGTAACAGCAGCTCCAATAAAAGAGCACAGTCAGTGAATAATAGGAACACACAGAGCACAGACTGCAAGAGAAAAAAACATTATATACAGAAGTTTTTTTTTCTTTTAGAAGACTACGTACACAAGATGAGGTAGTCATGGTTACTGCACACAGTGGGTTTATTGGTGGACAAAGTGCAGCAGTACCAGAGGTACCAGAGGTACCAGAGGTACCAGAGGAGTCCATAGTGCAGCTTTGTAAAGTCTGACTGCTGTTGGGATGAAGGACCTGCAGAAACGTTCCTTCTTACACTTTGGGTGTAACAGTGTGTCGCTGAACACACTGCTGAGGAGTTGACAGTCTGATGCAGGCTGGGAGGTGTTTCTATGATGGCAGACAGTCTGGCCAGGGCCCTCCTCTCTCCTACCACCTCCATGGAGTCCAGGGGCAGCCACAGACTGAGCTGGCTCTTCTGATCAGTCTGCTCTAACCCGCTCAGAGCACCCCCTCCCCAGCACACCACTGATGCCACCACAGTGTCGTAGAACGTCCTCAGCAGTGGCCTGCACACACCAGAAGAAG